TTTGCAGAGAATTTTCGTTGACGATTTTTGTACCTGCGCACCGCACTGCACCGTACCGCACCATACCGTACCGTACCGTACAAATTAAAAGCTTCAGAGATCCATTATTCAAGGAATGCGATATTTAAAATGGCTAGCTAGCTATTCTACGGTACCACTAGCTAGTAGGTATCGGTTAGTAGTATTGCTATTCTTACGGTGGTACATGTAACAGCAGACCAGGACCGTCCGACGGTTTTCGCTCAGGTTTTAAAAAAACTCAAAATTTTGCAGTTGAAACATTCCCTTAAACATTCCCTTAAAACATTCCCTTAAATCCTTAACATTCCCTTAACATTCCCTTAAATCAACATTCCCTTAACAACATTCCTTTAACGCTTCGAAACATTCCTCTAAGCCTTCATGTAAACCCCATAGAACATTCCCTTAAAAAAAATGAACATTCCCTTAAAAAAAACATTCCCTTAAAACATGCCTTTAAATCCTCAACATTCCCTTAACATTCCCTTAAATCTTCAACATTCCCTTAACATTCCCTTAACCAGAACCACGATTTGAGCAGTTTTTAAACCTGAGCAAAAACCGTCGGACGGTCCAGCAGCCTAAAAAGTTCGGGGGCTGGACTTATTTTACTCTAGCTAGTAGCATAATTTTATCATTTCTAAAGAAAAATCTTAATTCTATTGTTTTCGCTGCATCTCATTCTTCATGATTATTTGAAGACGAAAGGAACAGTCTAACCGACAAGGTAGCGGGTACACGTCTACCAGGTACAATAATGAGTGACAATGATACTTTCCATCTGAGTGACAGTGATAGCAATAATGACACTGATGGGCCTCCCGCAAACAAAAGGCTACAGTCGTACGGATCAAGGATGCTGCCTTGGATCTCAAATCTCGGGAAGCGGACATCAAGATCACAGTGGGCAAAAAAGAGGATGCCAAGGGATCAATGGAAAAGTGGTATCACTCGGCCGTGATGGCGACTCATAGCAAGTACATTGATACCATGCTGTCTGTGCCAATGAGAGAGAACCGGAGTCTTCAGATTAGTTTTCCGGATATTGACGTTGCTACATGGGATGCCATGATTGAATATCTACTGGACCCATCCAAAGCCTACTGTATGGCATGACTGCGGATCAGGCAATTTAGGTGGCCAAGCCGTACGACGAATACGATTTTGCGGGCGGGCGGCAGCTTTGCGATCGGGTGTTGACAACATACATGGAGAATCTAACCAATCAGGAGATAGATGCTTCTCTGGATGTTGACCTGATGGTGCATGCGGTGGTAACTGCTTTCCAGTACAATCTGATCGCTGCATGGGAAGCTGGCTGAAAGTACCTCATGGCAAAATTGACCAGCCGCGCTGCGCCATTCTGTCCACTCATGTTTTATGAAAGTCACATACGAACACTCGTGCCGGTTCTTTTAGAGCTGGTAGAGAAGGAACCCAATCTAGCCGTGTTTCCCATTGAGCTCGAGACAACTTGTGATGCAGAAACAATCAACAATAGACTTTTCCCTAGACTGTACATCCGAGAATGGCAGGTGGCAATGTCTCAGACAAAATTTCTACTAGGTGAGTTGAGCAGATCAGGCTGGCTTGTCCGGCTTTGAACGCTGTTGATGGAACTTTTCCTTCAAGGAACACACAATGCGTCTACACTACAGCAAGGCCTTAAATGATAAATGGAGTGAATCATTTGCTGAGTGTTGTCCAACTGATGGGCTCGACGGGTACCGGTGACAAAATTGATTGGGCGATCCAAGCGAAACGACCTAGGGCTTCTTATGCCAAGTACCATGGACAGTACCTACAACCTCCGAACACTGGCTGGCAGGGAAAGCAGATTTTCACCAAAGGGAAAAGTCCTGTAGTCGAATATATTTGGGGCTGATATACAAATAGCATTATGGCGTTCCAAGTCAATAGACAAGCTGCCTCCTAGCGATTAAGCGTTCATTCGCCTTTTTTGGAAGAGTATGCAGTGCATTTGCTTATTAGATCTACCGGTGGCACTCGTCCAACCTACGCTGCAACTGCCCCTTCGACGGACTGCTCAACATCTTTGCTACCGCGACTCGCGCCTGTATTTCTACCGGTACCAACGCCATGTACTCTTGGGTCCTTTCGATCCTGCCACTCGCTTGAAGGTGGCCGCGAGCCAGTCTGGTGGGTTGCCCAGTAGTCCTTGAGCAACTTCATGCTGACCGGTTTGGGTAGGACATCGTTTGCGCCCTTCTTTTTGAAGTAGTCGACGTCCTCATGAAGGACATTCCCGGTAACACCTATAATTGCCCCTTTAAACCCCAGCTGTCTCAGATCAAACGTGGCGTCTACCGTAGAACATGCAGGAAAAAGCAGTACTGCATGTGAGCGCCATGGTATCGAAGTTGTTGGCAAGGCACGCAATATCTTTCACATACCTGGTCCATTCTTGACTGGCATCTCATAGCTGCGGAGGAAGCACCAGTACGAAATGAAATTGAATGGTCAGCCATCAGACACGACGGCTAGATTAGGGCGAACTATGTGGAGTCACAAGATGGGGCACAATGCGCATGGTGCACTTACTCCATGAGCACGGTGTCGATCATGTCCGGGGCAATGGTTCCTTCGTCGCTCTGCGCATCAGCCGTACTCGTAGCGGCTTTCCGGTTGGCCACAACGGTATCAATGGCTTCCTGTCCGTCGCATGCAGAGAAGCACTGGTGTCCTGCTCGTTCCAACAATCGAACTAGCATCTTGCGATTTGACAGCACATCATCCACGACCAACACTGTGTGCTTCTGCGTTTCTGCCTTTGACGGCGTTGAGGGTGGCGGGGCAGGAACTGAAGAACCTCGCGTCGAGCCAAGTGGCGTTGTCGACGGTGCCAAACATTGTTTCTCTTGAGGGGTTGAACTGGCTTCGAGCCTTCGGTCGTCTTCGATGGTTGGTACGGTCTCCATGTCCACTGCCATACTGCCGGTGCCAGTAGGAGCCACTTTGTCTGGGCATGTGTCAGCGGAATCAGCCATTGTAGGCAACTTCTCAGAAACCAGCGACTCAGTTTTGAATTGATCGCAACTTGAATCGTACAGAGGAAGTTCCACGCTGAAGGTGCAGCCTTTGCCCTCACCAGCCGATGATGCAACAATGGCACCGCGGTGCCGTTCGATAATGCCTTTGCTGATGCATAGTCCTAACCCGCTTCCACCACCAGCCTGCAGCCTGTTTGCGTTGAATTGAACGCCTTCGACGAAAACGCGCGATAGCTGATGTTCTGACATGCCCACCCCTGGGAGATGCAGGAAAAGGCGACCAGTGAGGGACACGTTGTCATCATGATGCGCGGGACACGATTTCCTGCACGCACCAGTATCTGTCACACTAATCAGGATAGATCCAGCGCGCGGGAAGCTGTAGAAACATGCCAGGGAATTGGAATCTCCAGTGCTTTGATCTGACGCCTGCATCTGGTCAGTCGAATTTGACGTGAGCTGAAAATTTCGTTTCCTTCCCCAACTCCGCTTCTCTGGTAAACCATCTTTCTTGTACTCGACTGAAACCTTGATCAGTCCGCCAATGGGGGTGAATTTAAGAGCATTAGATATGACGTTTCTTACAACCTCACTTTGGAGTCCAGAAAACAATGTGAGCGGAATGTTGCCGTCATGACGACGCCGTGATGTCGCGATTCACAATTTCCTCCTCACCTTAGTCGCATGGGATCCCTGGGAGATGCAGGAAAAGGCCATATGAGAGGTGCACGCTGCAATCATGATACCGTTGTGATGCGCGTGACAAGCGAGTTCCCGGACGCACCCGACAACAACTAGTTCTCGCAGACTTTCGGACACCATTCCCTCGCCAACTTCTGGGTCGCGGTCACTGTGGTTGTCCGTAACGGTAAACGAAAGGTCTACTTCCTTGTTTACAGCCTGAAGCCTGAACTGACTGACAACTTTTGCGACCAGGTCCCACATCAAGACCTGTCCGATTTCCAGCTCCAGGTTGCCAGTTTCGATCTTGACGTGCGAAAGGAAGATCAGTCTGACAGTTGCGACGCAAAAAGGCAATCAAAGCGGACTGACATACCTTATCATATTTCAGCAACTCGTTCAGAATCCCCACTGCACTGGAAGCGTTCTCTTGTATGTCTCGGGTGATATCGTACCAGTAGTCAACACTGGCTCCAGAAGAGCTCTCTGGCGCAAGCGACGAACTCGAAGCCTCAGGTGTGACATTTCGATCTCTGTGCGGCCCCAGCTCTGACTCGAGTAGCTCCAACCCCATGCAAACTGTCGTCGAAGTTGCACAAAGAATGATCAGATTGTTTCAAAAATAAACAACGTAATGCCCGAGTCGAGTCGCTTACCAGTGTTCTGAGAGAAGCGTATGGAAAGGTGAGAAAGGCACAATGTTCTGTATTGAGAGTATTCTCTGCGTACCAATGGCGTTCGTATTTCATGAGAAATGAAGCGGACGAATCGACGCTTCATCTCCAACACAACCTTGCGCTCGTTGATGTCACTTTGCATCAAGAAGTCATACACAAAGAAGATCACTGTGCATATCGCAATGACTGCCGCAAATCCCAATGACACGGCCAATGGACTTTTGGTGGCGAACTGATCAAATGAGTTTGGGTATACTGTGAGCGTTACATGCACCGACTTCGTTGCTCCCGCGACATCGTTCAACACTATCGACCGGGCAGATGAGTCGAATCTTCTATCGTGCTGATCTCCTTCGCCAAGAAAGACCGCGTGCCCATGTCGAATGATATACGTCACGGTACCGAAGTCAGTGTTTGAATGCCATTGTGAATCCGTAGATATTACTGCGACTAGAGTATCAAAGAAATCCGGCACGATTTGGTCAAGCACCTCGATCCACTGGGGGGAATACGAGTAGGAACAAGCTTTGAGCGCCACTGTTGATCCTGCCGACGTAACCAGCACACCGCGGAGTTTCGGGACTATTTTGGCTCACCTGGATAGACGTTCCAACAAAGCCCACCACTGTAGTAGGATCATTGGCTGGGTATATTGGCTGGTCGACCAATGTTGCAAGGTCTGGTCGACTGATCAACTTCTTGAAACCCGTGCTCACCGTGCAAGCAGGCTTTTGGGGTGCAGTAGGTGCGTCTGTCATTGTTGCCAGGAAGTCAGAATTCTGGGTTGCATGTTCAGTGCACTCAAAAAGGGCATCAACAGCAGTGTCTGTGGAATGTACGTCGTACATGAGAGCGTTGGTGTTCCACATCTGTGACGCAGCAAAGCGATGAGTGAATCTGACATGAGAAGCAAACGTTTGGACATTTTGTACTCACAGAATGATCCATTATAGGGGCTAGAATCGTGTATGGACTTCCCCCGTCCGATGTGTCGTTTCCCGTACGCGACGGAACCCTACCATCGGCAAAAGGAGAGTCCGGATCCCTTGTATAAATGCCGAATCCAAAATCGCTGAGCCCGGCATCCGGTGGGTAGCCCTAGAAGGAGCCAGAGGAGGAGTGAGTAAGGGTAGAGGATTTGAGCGAGGAGAGAAATGGCAAAAGTTACCTGCTGGTCAAAGTGCTCCTGAATAAAGCTTTCAAAGGCTGCTGCCTCGGGAGGCTGGACAAAGACGCTCATACCCATCGAGCCCGTGCTCGCCAATGCAGCCACTTCCCTCGATGTGTGAAAGTACCCGTTGAGACCCACATAAGGCCACATTTCAGCATCCGGAAAGGCGTAACTTAGGACGGACTCCATGACCTTGGCGGCTTGATATTTTCGAAGGGTGATTGCGCGGGCGGCTTTCAAGGCACTGGCCGCGACGCTGCTCATTTCAAACAACAAACGAAAGCGGGAAGATCTGTTGAGTGCCGCTGAAAAGAAATTCATCTTAAATCAAAGAGGGACATGCATACGGTTTGAGAACCTTCGGTCCGTGCTCACCTTTCATATGTTTGGTGGCCAACCTCGTACTCCAAGTCACGGATTATCAGATACGACACCAGGCTGCATATGAAGATTGCGATGATGATGCTGGTGACGAAGAGCACGCGTAGGGCAACGGTCCGGCTCCACTTCCAACAAAGGAAAGCATTCAAGCAGGAAGCGAGATGTGACAAGGTGCCATCGTCGCCATGGGATGCCTGATCGGACCCATCATCAGAACTCTTGAGAACTTGAACACGGGGTTTCATCTTGTTTGGTATTTGCGTTGCTGGATTCCCAGATATGAGGTATGTATTGCTTTGACTCTGGATATCCTTCATGGTAGTTGAGGGGCGGTGGTTGCCTGGTTGTACGGCAGGAAGACTTCAAATCAATTTTCTTACGAGATATGCAAGATGGAGGAACTTTTCGTTCATCAATGCTGTATTATATGCGCCAAGAGAGGTTTGGGGAGGAAGATTGACTTCACTTGGGTCTTTCTCACAGTCTGTGGCAGAGAGGTTCGCCAAAACCAATATGTTTGACGACCCGAAAGAAAAGGCTGTGGAATCTGGAGCTTGGGACGTGCCTTCGTTGGGATCAGGTGATATATAAGGCTCGTTTCCTTCGGATTGTGTTAAGAATGCGCCTCCACTGGCATACATATGCACTGTTTGTCCAGCACGAGGCAACAGAACTGTGGCTTGATGGGTTGACTCTGTCAATCCCAGTAAATTATATTTAGAATACTCACTTTTTGCTGCAATTGATAAACGCTACGTCAAAGGAAAAAGAAGTCGCAAAGACTCGATCCTGTGCCAACACACTCGAACTCTTTGCACTATTGTAGAAACTTGAAACTTTGCAGAATGCCAACGACGTCCCAACAATTGTCCTAAACGAAGCCCAATGGTGGTTGTTGGGCAAAGTGTCCCGATTCCCGATAAAAAAGCGTACAGTTCTGTGCCGACAGCCTTGAACCGAACCGAACCCCGACGGTTGTGTCATTGATCGAGACCATCAGTCACGGACTGAGCGGGAGTCAAAGCAAAACTATTCAATCATTTTTGGTCATGAAAGACTGGCCAAAGCCTCGACCTGGAAGGTACAATGTCGGAAATCTTCTCCAGCGGTTCATCGCCAAGCATTGCATCGGTGTTGTTTTCGTTGTTCTCCTCACAGCTCCACCAGATTTGAAGCGCTGCGCGTATGCCTTCTCTGGTCGGAAGCCTACACCGTCGATTCTCCAGCCCACCGGTAGATACCACCAACCGCCCTCGTGAACCATCAATGGTGACGCCTCGTTGGATTTTGCGTCGAGGATTGGAATTGGATGGATGATCGTCGACAAAGAGTGAAACTCCGCCTCGAAAGTCGTGGCCAGCTCCAGTCGAAAGGAACACTGAAGTGTGAATTGCAAAGCGGGGATCGGCTTCCATATCGGCAATGAGCACGCAGGGATCACGAAACGGTTCCCGTCGAGTGGATGGCCAAGGAAGCGAGTACCGAGCAAGCTCGTTGTGTCGCTTGTGTTTCTCAATCCATCGGACGTACCGCTAATGCCGCACACACGTAGGAGAAACGGATTCGATTCGGTGAGTAGAGTGAATATCATGTTTCAACAATTCCCCCTTGGAAGCAACTTACCTGTCGGTTCAGGACTCGGAGCAGATAGCTCGATGTCTGGCTGAGGCTACCACGCAAGGGTAAATTCCCCCCATCGAGGGGACCACTAGCACTCACTCGAAAGGCCACCGGTTTGAGTTTCGTGTGGTTGGATCCCACCCGATAGGTATCGCGCAAGAGGCTCCGAATGGTTTCCAAAAGAGCGGGAAGTCGCCCCTCCAAATGTCGAAGGTATCGGGCATCATAGTGAATATCAAAATGGTCCCAACCTACTTGAATCAACTCGGCTCCCATTCGCAAGGTTTCGCCAATATCTTGGTCAGTAATCAAATTGTCGTGAATTCCCCGAAAGCATTTATGATCCTCCATGTGTTGGGGATCCTCCGATATGGGACAGGCATCGTCGTCCGTAGACTGATCCTTATTTGTTGTTGTTGTCATCTCCTGTTGTTGTCGTGTTGGTGATTGACACATGGTACTGGCATTGATAGGGGGATTGCAGGGCATGAACCAACTGACATTGACACCGAGTAAGTACGGTTCCCAAAAGGCAGCTTGTCCCTTGGTGGATGCTTCAAAGAAGGAATCCACCAGCACAGTTTTGGTGGGGACATGAACAACACCATCGCTGCAATCCACATCAAGTTCTGGTTGGTTTTCTGATGATATGCTGGTGTAGTAGTAGGAGGAAAGAAGCCACTCGATGGGTTTGAATAACTGTGTTTCTGTCCACCAAGATGGATACAATGTCTTGGAAAGTGGAGAACGATTTAAATCGGGACAGTCTCTGGCATGGTCTGTAAAGTGTCTCACGTGCAGTAGTTCATAGAGGAGCTTGTCAAAGAGTGGATCTGGGCGTTTGTCGCGTGGAAACAAGGGAATAGTTTGCAACATGATACAGATAAAGGCGACAGCAACGGCAAGGACGGCAAAGCAGATGCGTCGAAATGTCAAGCTAGCTCGTTCCGGTCGTTCCATGGGTGGGACACGTAGCAAGACAAATTCTTCCTCTGGAACAGCTTGCTGCCGATATCGCTCCACCGCTCGAGCAATGGCCAGTGCCGCTTCTCGTTCTTCCTCTTCCGTCCATCTCCGTTCTTCCTCTTCCAGATCCAATGGGAATGGAATATTGTTGTTGACGACGGGAGCATTCATGTTGAAATTGTCATTATTGTCATTGTTCCTGTTGTCCACGTTCCTTCCCAAATTGTTGTTGTTGTCATTATTATTGTTGTTGTTGTTGTTGATTGCGCCATTATTATTATTGTTACCCCCACCATTCATCAAGTTCGCGGGAGCCAGCAAGAAGGGCGGAGCCATATTATTGCCGTTGTTGTTGTTGTTGACGGGATTCGGCAAGGGAGGAAGCTGCCCGCCTCCTGCCTCCTGCAGGATACCAGCCTCATTGTTGTGATTCTCGCCCACGGGTACCAACCGACCATCTTCATCCACAAAAGCTTGACCTTGCCAAAATTTCCACGCCAAATCTCGGATTTCTCGCCGTCGTTCATGATAGGCATCAATCAGAGCTTGTCTCATCTCTTTGCCGGCATCTTCTCGTTCCGGGAGCTTTCCGTCCGACACAAAATCCAACACATCTTGCTCGGTCAAGTCTTCCTGTTCCAACAAGGATTGGGCGTCATCGCAACATCCCGGTGGTAGATAATACTGGATCTTCTTATTATCCATGGCCTACTAGTGTACTCGTCCAAAGCCTACTAGCAAACTAAAGCATGCGAGAGTGTCTTTGTGTTGGTTTTGGAAACGGTCAAGAGTATGACGAGAATGAATTGAGAGCTTGCTGGCAACAACACGCGGCTAAAGTAGCAATAATAATGCAGATGTTTTGTACCGTACGGTATCAACAGATAATTGACAGTTCCTTCTCGTTAATGCCAGTACGATACACCAGCCAACTCTCTTTGCGTTCTGCACGGCATCTATCCACAAGCTTCGTCACCCAATTTGTCTGGATTGGTTGGACGAACTTGCATATCCTTGCCAAATTGGCCGACGAGAGAGGTTCTAACTAAAACGACAATTTGTTCATTCGAACGAAAAGCAATACGCCATGAAGAAGCTGCTTAGTTCTTTGTTGGTTCTTGGGACCATCGTTCTACCCTGGACAGGTGTTACCGCCGAGGAGATTGTCATCTTTGGTTCGGATGCATGCGAGTGCGAGGACAATATCGGGCACTTTTGTGGCATTGATGACAACTGTCATCCATTCTCTTGTGAAAATTACTATCTGTATGCCGACCGAAAGCTCACGGGGTATTCGGACAACGCCACTATGCAGTGTTTCGGCTACTCTCTCGGCGAACAAGAACGAGCTCATGGCGTAGTGTATGGATGCAGTCCTCTCTTTCCGTTTGTACTCCCCACACCTGGCAAGCAAGTGACAGAGCCTTTCAACCGAAAGTGCACCGCAGAGCGAGACGAAAGCGGTTTCTCGTTTGAATGCTACGAGTTTCAGGACGGCGAGGCTGCCGCAGACTTTAGCTTTTTCGAACGATTAGCTAATTCGTTCTTTCCAGACTGTACGGATGGTGATGATCCCAAATACTACTACATGATTGCCAGTAGCAACCACTATCTGGGCTTTGAAGGGCTGCAGGGTAACCCCATAGTGGCAGGAGGTGCCGATATCGACGGTGATACGATATGGCAATCCAACCCATCAAACTTCTTTCGTCGGGAGACTGCCTTGTTGGCCATGTATGCCAACGTTGTGGGCGGACCAGCACCATCTCTGTCGGAATCTGGAACAGTCATCTTAGATCCACCAGGAGGCCTGTTTGACAACAATCCTCTCGACAAGCCGTCTACAATGGCCCCGACGAATGCGGCAGGAACCCATCCTGGCAACGTGTTCAACCATTCAGACAACAAACCGCCTACAGCTGATGGAACATCAGAAGCGGAGGAAGGGTTGAATCAAACTGCTGCCCATGAGGAAGGATTGAACATCACCAATGATGCCGAGGCGGGTTTAAACATGACGAATGACACAACGTCGATGCCACAAGCAGAAGATGAAGAATGAAGTAAAGAAAAAAAAAAATCTAAAACGAAGCACAGCAGTTGATGTGGACGATGGGACCAGCAGTGCCGTCCCACACCGCGGCCCACACAGTACTTTTGTCGGCATTACGATGGTGATTTGCCGATGTTGTCATTGCATGTTGTTGCTGGTGTAGCCGAGGATGAATGAGCTATTGCATCAACCTCACTCGTTTTGGGGTACGCGAAGAACATCTTTGATCAACGGGAGGTTGGAACTCGTTCTGGCCCGGATTAAATACCGATGCCACCGCCGAGGGGCAGACACTGGTACTGCATTAAGAGCAAGAAAGGAAATGGACCACCATCAGCCGCCCGTACCAGTAGCCAGCCTCCTAGCGAAAACTGCTTCCCGACTGCTGAATGGCTGGCAGCTGCCCTCCAACAACCATCTTCGGTGGATCCACCAGTCACGAAACGCATCATCAGGCCAGGAAAAGTCGCGGGGAAGGTTCCGCACGCTACTGCAATAACTGCCTCACAACAGAGCAATCGTACCCGGTATCCCTTGGAGTTGATGAAGCACGAAGCAAAGACGATGGTCCCAAGGACAAGAAGTGCTGTCGAGGTCAACTTCATGGTCATCGTGG